TTTGACATCGGGTAACACGAAACAAGCCACCCACAATCCTAGCCCCAAACCGCTGCTGCTGCTGGCTGGTATGCTGTTGAAGGCTGCGTGGCTGAGGGCTGCGACTGGGGCTGATCCCGCTCTGAAGTTGATAGGCTGACGCTGACGCTGCGGCTGGGGCGAGGCGGCGGCTCTCGGATGCGGCTACACACATTTACCCTGTGCCGTACCCTGCCCTAACCCCGCCGTGTACGCCCCTACTTACTTGCAAGATGACCCCACTCTCAAGGCCGTCTTGAAGCCTGCACGCCTCTGGCTCCCGTTTCCGCGTTGGGAGCCGTCGCCGCGCCGTGCGCGGCCGATAGCTGCGGGGGAGGGAGCAGAAACGAGGGAGGGGGAGTACGGATCAGCAGGACGAGCCGGTGCGGGTCTACGTCGGCTAGATGAATGCTAAATGCCCATGCATGATGCCTAATATGATGCAGCTACATGCATGCACAGAATGCCTAACACGCCTGAACCTACCTTTGAAGCGCGGGGTCGTACTTCGCACTTACCTGCACCCGCCCGTGTCTTGGGACCTCAAAAACGTCGCCGTGCCAGGTCTTGAGGGCTCGAAGGCTCCTGCACTTCCTTCAGCATCCAGCAGCCGTCCGTTCCGAGGCCCAAGTGTGCGACCATGGCAGGGAGGTAAAAGGGGCAACAGCGGGGTGAGAAACATAAAACATGTGACATGGGCGGGACACCGGCAGGACCAGCACACGCGAAACACGCACATGCCCGCATGCCCAAACCCTGCTTCGCTGCTGCTGATTGGCTGTTGCTGATCGACTGTTGCTGCTGCTGTGGAGGTGGCTGGCAGGCTGTAATGCTGGCTGGCTGTAATGCTGGCTGGCTGGCTGAGATGAAAGCTGCGGCTGGCGGCTCTGAAGCCCTGGCGCTGACAGATTGAAGCTCGGTTTGGGCATTGTAACCAAGGAATTCACAACGTCCCATGACTATAACGACCCCAGGCAGCCCCCTACTTACGTGAGCAACGCGTCTCTCTCCGCCATGACCACCGCACGCTTCATGGAAGCCATGCCGGGTACTCTTGTTGCGCCACGTGACGGACCGCCCTTCCTTCGTGTCTCCAGCCATCAGCTATCTTGCATTGAGATGTCTTGGTCTCGGGTATACAGTCTCCAGTACAAGGTCCTGCATGCAGGCGATGTGAATGTTAACAAGAGGTACCGGAGGATTAGGCATGTAGGCTTTTCATGGGTCAGGTGAACAAGGCAGTAGTACATAGTAAAGATACAAAGAGGCACTCAATCCGCTGAGCCGCAGAAAGAATTGTAAGCAGGCGCACTTGTCCCCAAATCCCCGCGGGGGGCCCTTCGGCTGGTTAGGCCATGCGGGCTGACCCCTCCTAAGTAATCCCCTCGGGGGGCCCTTCGGCGTGTTAGGCCATGCGGGCTGACCCCTCCTAAGTAATCCCCTCGGGGGGCCCTTCGGCTGGTTAGGCCATGCGGGCTGACCCCTCCTAAGTAATCCCCTCGGGGGGCCCTTCGGCTGGTTAGGCCATGCGGGCTGACCCCTCCTAAGTAATCCCCTCGGGGGGCCCTTCGGCGTGTTAGGCCATGCGGGCTGACCCCTCCTAAGTAATCCCCTCGGGGGGCCCTTCGGCGTGTTAGGCCATGCGGGCTGACCCCTCCTAAGTAATCCCCTCGGGGGGCCCTTCGGCTGGTTAGGCCATGCGGGCTGACCCCTCCTAAGTAATCCCCTCGGGGGGCCCTTCGGCGTGTTAGGCCATGCGGGCTGACCCCTCCTAAGTAATCCCCTCGGGGGGCCCTTCGGCTGGTTAGGCCATGCGGGCTGACCCCTTCAAACTGTCCCCTCGGGGGGCCCTTCGGCGTGTTAGGCCATGCGGGCTGACCCCTCCTAAGTAATCCCCTCGGGGGGCCCTTCGGCTGGTTAGGCCATGCGGGCTGACCCCTCCTAAGTAATCCCCTCGGGGGGCCCTTCGGCGTGTTAGGCCATGCGGGCTGACCCCTCCTAAGTAATCCCCTCGGGGGGCCCTTCGGCTGGTTAGGCCATGCGGGCTGACCCCTTCAAACTGTCCCCTCGGGGGGCCCTTCGGCGTGTTAGGCCATGCGGGCTGACCCCTCCTAAGTAATACCGTTTCCGTATCCAGTCCTCATCCTCGGCTTTGACGGCGATGATAACGCGGGAGGTCGACGAAGACAGCGCAATGCTGCGTTGATGACCCGTGGGTCACACGCATGCGCCTGCCAGCTGCTGGGCCCCCAGCTCCACACGTAGACCGCAAGTAACCAGGATAAACATGTCGGGGTTGGAAGGGCAAAGGGGGACGGCTTCTCAGCAGCATATTTATACGGTCGCAAGTGAACGCGCAAACATGAGCACACAGACATGACACCCGCGCTGCCCCAGACCCCGCTGCTGCTGCTGCTGCTGCTGATCGACAACTGGCTGGCTGGCTGGCTGACGGCTGTTGCTGAAAGGTCTGAGACTGCTGAGCTGAGGCTGATCGGCTGTTGCTGTTCTGATGCCGGGACTGGGGCAGCGACACAATCCCTCCACGTCCTCTCCTAGCAAACTAACCCCACATCTATGCAGCCAATACCAACTTACCGATACACGGAACTTAATGCCCTTGGAACATGCTCGCCGTCACCCATCCGAGTCGATTGTTCTTCAGCGACGCACCTGCAGAGAAACACAGGTATAACCTTAGATCAGCATCAAGTAAGAAGAAAGCAGGCTGTGCCGATCTAAACAACAGCAGCGGCAAGGGCAACCAAGGTTAGCAGCATTGCAGCCCGCCGTACCGTTCGCTGCGACGCCGGTACTGCTGACGCTCGCCAAGGGTCATCAGCGGGCTCAGGCCGACAATGCGCTGGGACAAAGCGCCGAAGTCCAGATTGGAGGCCCATGCGGAGGCACATGTGGACAAACCAAGGGGGGGCGGAGGGGCAAAAGGGAATTGGTTGGTGGGTACAACCGGAAAACGGATGGGACACTAGAGCAACGCACGAGTGGAAAGCAAGCAGCGCGCAAGCCAGAGACAGTCTAAGGCGCCCCTGCCCCATGCAACGGGCCGTCAACTGAACAACATGCCTTGCCCACGCAGACGACCTAACGACATGCTACAGGCAGAGGTGGCTAGGCTCTGCTTGCAGCATGTCTATTAGGCCGGCTGCGTGGGCAAAGCTTAACCGACGTCTGCTGGGGTCTCAACTTGCCTGGCTGAATAGAACGCTCGCATGGCGAGCGCCTTCGCTGCGTAGGAGTCTTATGCTCTTGGTCGCGTAGTCTCAAGCCTTGGACATTGGTTGAGCACATGCTTCACAGAAAGCAGCTGAGTAGCCAGGGAGCGCTGCCTTGTAAGCTGCCTGCAAGCAAGACAGATAACAAGGATATTGCCGTTAGGTAATCGTATGGGGAAACGATCGGGAGGTGGCTGAACATGGTAAGCACCATCGGCATGAGCATCGCGCCACGGACCCAAGGTGCTAGAAACTCGCAGAAATGTCATCTGCAGGTTCCAGTATGGAGCTAAATATACCACTAGAGCCTCTTAGCTGCTATTGTGCTGAAAGAGCCTTGAAGCCGGTTAGGGCAATATCGGTTGCGAGGCCTCACCTTTACAGCCTTGGCAGCATTAGGCATTTGTTGTGATTTCATGTTGTGGGAAGCACGGATGTTTTTATTATAAGCCACCTGCAGCGCGTTTAGCAAGGGTCTCGTAAACTCCGTGAAATAAGCAATGGCAGAGGCGTACCCTGTTCTTATGCCTCTACCCTATCTTCCAAGGTGCATAGACACCTTACCTTGTGTTCCTCGACCGCTGGCATCCAACAACCTTCGTATTGTAGAAAGGCTTTCTTTTGCAATTGTGTCGATGGGCAACCAGTTAAAAAGCGTCTAAGTGGCTTTACATGTATAGAAAGTTTTAACCAAATGGCGGCCGCGGTTTAAACGCGAACGCCCATTGATGCCGTACCGGTAAGGGAAGTAGCACACTTCGCGCAAGGGAGGGCACCTGACAAAAACCTTTGTTGTACACATTAACTGGAAACCGCAATACACAGGAAGACGTTTGGGCTTTCCAATGGCTCCACCTTGGCGAGATTCGCTAACCAACGGGCACTTCGGTTTAGGTCCGCTTGCACGCGACGCGGAGGTTTTCTTTGGCACTGCTCTAAGACCGGTAATCATTATCCTGCGCCATAGTCAAGGCTAGTACATACTTGCCTGATATCGGGCGGGGCATGCCGCTCTCACCGCCAAGTCCATTGGTGACATGGTCGAGCGGAAAGCTAGCCTGGCTAGGAATAGACGTTATATGTCCGAGCTGCCTTGGCAAGTAGGGCCCAAATAACGTTTGAGAAGTGCTGCAACATGGAACCGGGGTCACCGCAGCCCGTGATGACCGTACTAACCATCGCCTCTGGTTTCCCAACGCTGCTGACATTTGCTCCCGCCCTTCCTCCACTCGCCCGCACTCGCGCTTCCAAGCCGGTCCCAACAAGTCGACACACCTCGCAACGGATGCTTTCCATGAAATCAACCCCGCAAACCCCGCATCCACACCATGCGGGCAGCATCCGCTGGTACCCGAGAAGGGGGTTCAAAGACCATACCAAACCATAGGAAACCACAGGTTGGGGCAAAACAATGAATAGGGAGCGGCAGGATGCCATAAACAAGTGTTATTTGGCGTTCCCTACCGGTGCCGAGTCCGGCCCTCCAGCGAGCGGCCAGACGAGAACTAACTGTTGTCTACTGCTACTGTCTTGATTTCAAGTACAGTCACCAAGGCCCCAGATGAGCTCGTGCGTGAGAAAGAGGCAGGGCCGAAAACGTACGTTAACAGCAGGAAGCAAGCATTCGGGCAATAAGGGAAGTGTTGAAGTATAGATTTACCTAATGTCGCAGGGTTCTGCTTGTTACTTCAACAACTATATTGGCTTGTTGCATATGGGTGGGGCGCTCATACTTTTTCGCCTCTGTCACGCGTCGTCCGTACGCCTCAAGGCTCCTGCCATGGAAGCGATCTGGGCGCAATTCCTTCTATACCTTTATGTTTCATTAGACCATATCCAACCGTGGGTTAAAGTGCGTCAAGTGAATTGGTATCAGGAAACAACTGGTCACCTGATCTGAAAGGTTGTTTAGTGGAGGCTTGGTTATTGACGAACGAGCAGCTCATAAATACTTTCGACAGAAGTAGCATATAACAGCGCTTAGTTAGGCTTGGTCTCGGAAGGCTATTGTTTCCCAACGATGTTGTGCGAACGACCCGAGGTGGTGCCAGCGCTCAAAGGCGCTATTGTTGTGCTGGTAAGACTGTCACTGTAACTGATCCTTATGGCCGCCGCTGTTTGGCCGTCTGGTAGGTCACGTAGCCATGTCTGCCCCATGCAGCCGGCTGTAACATACGCAAACGTGGGGGAACTGGCAGTGGACGTGTTGGTAGCAACGCTCTGTCCACAGCCGTTGGGATCCCTGGAGTCGGCAAACGTGCTGCCTGTGGTCGGAAATGACGCATTCAGTGTGGGACCTGGAACCCTTTCGACTGCTCTTGAGGCATTCTCCCTTCCTGGTACGTACCCGTCCCGCTTCTTATGACCAAGCGCGGGCAGAGGGGCGTGGGCTACGAAGGGGGATAGGGGTACCGGTATCAACCGTTCGTCCCCAACTACCCAAGCGTGTATGCTACTGTACGGCATCGGCTGCTCATCTCCTCCTCCTCCATGACCCCCCTTGCTCTCACCTTACACTCTTCATCCGGCCCGCTTCCCAGCGAACCACCACCACGCTACCCCCGCTATACCCACAACACAACCCACGCCTTCTTCCGCTGCCTCCCATGCATCCTCGATTTCCTCACCCCTGCCCTTCTCTGCCCCAGCCTTCCTTCCTTCCCCTGTGGCCCTCTACCACCTTCTCTCCCACCTCCTCTCCCACCTCCTCTCCCACCTTCTCTCGCTCCCTTTCCCCCCACGTCCACCTCCACTTCCCTCTCCCCCAGGCCGTCCCCTGGTGCTGCTGCAGCAGCGCGCCCCCGCCTGCCCGGGCCGGCAGGCCGCTTGGGCCGCGGAGCTGGTGGCGTGGCTGGCGGGTTGCGGCGCGGCGGGGGTGCTGCTGCTGAGCGGGCTGGACGCGCAGCTGCGGCGGGACAAGCAGCTGGACAGCGACCCATGCAGGTGGATAGGGTTGCTCGAAACGGGTTTCCACCCGGTGGGGAGGGGAGGAGGAGGGGCGGAGGAGGGGCGGAGCTGTGTGCGTCGGGAAGCTGGGATGCGGTGTTGGGATGTGGAGATGGGGCGAGTCGGCTGCGAGTGGGTCGGTGGGTCGGTGCGGCCGCCAGCTGTTGGAGCGGAGCAGCGCGCGGAAGGAGGCCAGGTCGTTCGCGCCGGCTGCAGGGGGGAAGAGGGTAGGAGGGGTTGAAGGAGGAGGGCAGAGGTCTAGGGCATGCGCAGGAATCTGATTAAAACCTTTTCCACACACCTAAGACCCGGAAGCCATCCTGACCTGTCTAGCACACAACACGCTGCTGCCCCCTGGAGCATGCACGCCTGGGGTTATGCGGCCGGACCAGCGTGCGAAGGGCGTGCTAGGCTCACCTGCACGACAACGACTGCTGCTTGCCCGCCCGAGAACATCCAGTTGGGAGTTGGGGTTAACCAACTGCCCACCCACCCCCTCCTGGACTAGCTAGGGAGTAGGGACGTCCCCACGGTCGCAATGGCATCACTCTGCCCTCCTTCCTAGTGACACGCCACCGTGTCAGCCACTCTGCCCTTCCGCTTACTTCCCCTCCTCACCCTCCCTGGACAGGTTCCTCGCCAGCAGTGACGCGCTGCGGGATGCCGTAGCAGCCGCATCCCTTCCCCCCACCGCCCAGCAGCAGCAGCAGCAGCAGCAGCCGGACCTGGACCAGCACATGCAGGAGTCACTAGTGCTACAGCCGCCCCAGCTACAGCCGCCCCAGCAGTCCCTTCCGGAGCTGGAGCCAGAGATTCGGGAGGAGGAGCTAGCGCTGCACCATAGCCTGCCGCCGTGGCCGCTCGTACAGGAGTGTACGGCACGAGGGCTGCCGTACATCATGCTTGGGTGCTTTGCGGCTGAGGGGGACAACGCGGGGGAGGGCATGCGTCTGGCGGCGCGGGCGGCGGCGGTGCTGGGGGCGCTGCGGGTTGGGGCGGGGGGTGCGGAGGGGGAGGTGGGGTTGGGGAAGGCGGCGAGTGGGGAGCAGGCGGTGTTGGAGGCGGGGGCGGGGCTGGTGCTGGGGGCGCCGGCGTCCTGGGTGGGGCTGTACGGCAGGTCCTTCCCGCCGGAGATCTTCTAGGGCGCCTGGCGGGTATCAGGAAGGGGAGGGCTTAAGGCGGGAGGGAAGTGAGGTAGCGTCGCAGGGAGGGGTTGCATGCAGGGAGGGGTTGCGTTGCTAAAATGACCCCCCCGAGGTGGCGCCGGCGGCGGGTGCCGGCGGGACATGAAGGGTGGGCCGCCGTGTGTGTAGCTGGCGGGGGGCAGTCAGCTGTGGTCCACCGCGTACACCGGTACGACACTTTTGCGGGCGTATGTGGCGGCTGCATTCCGCATGTTACTGGCAGGAGGTAGCTCGCACGGGGTCGGTGCGTGTGTGTTAAGAAAACTGGCCGCGAGTAGCAACATATTGGCCCCACCCAACCCAACCGGTGAATGTTTGCTGTGGAAGTGTACCTCTTGACAACGGGATGACTATTTTCAAACGTGTTCGGTGTGTTGATAGGTGAGCTGCAGCTGGTTGGTTGCCTATTAGTTTGTCATGCTGGGTTGTTGTTTTGACGGGATATGTTCTTGCTATGTAATTGCATGGTGGATGTACGACAGGAGCGTTGTTTGTGTTACACGCTTTTTCCTTCTTGTCCGCTGACTAGTCCAGGTTATTGACTATGACAGCCATCAGTAAGAAAGGCGCAGAGTGTGATCAGAGGAAATTTTCTTCTCTACTCATACATGTGTGTATTTCTGTACGAGTAGCTACGCTACCATAACGCTGCACGGCACGCGGCTAGTGGAAGGTAACCGGTAATAATATATATGGCACGCTCACTTGGTGTTGGCCAACAAACAACCACATACCGCACTCAGAATGGGTTGATCTACCTCGATGTTATGTATTCATCCAAACTTCATCTCATGCTAAGAATCTCTCGACAGTATGCGTGTATGCCGCTTCTGCGTCTCGCGATGGCACACTGCTCAAAACTCGCTCCAGCTGTCATCTCCCTCTTTCCTCACGCCCTCCGCAACCGTTCTACCTAGCCCTGCGTCCTCCTGCAACCCATCCATGATCCATCCACTCATCCCGTTGCGCCGTATACCATCCTGCTCACCCTGCTCCCCTCTTTGCCTCACTCCTCCATTACGCTGCCTTAGGTCACACAGGCTCTTCCCCCATGTAGTCAAAAGCAAAGGCGAGACAGGCCGTAGCCGCGGGGTGTAGCCGCCACGGGTTTCGTGTGGGCCCTGCTGCCTCACAGGTTGGCCAGCTCAGTGGGCAGCGGTGTCACCGGCAGCCCCACATCCCTGGGATAGGGTGGGCGTAAGCGAGGGTCAATGAGAGCGGGCGGGGTAGGAGGGTTCCGGTAAGCGAGGGGAGAGTTGCCGGGGTAATGACGAGGGGAGGAAGGAGAGCAACAGAAACCACCAGCGCAGTGCACAAGATACATGCCGCCTTTGGCCTGCCGCTAAGTACCAGCCCCCTCCCTTCTTCTCCTGTCCATTCCCAGCCCCCTGGCCCCCATGCTACACCCCATTGCGGCGCCTTGTCACACGGTTCGTTAGTCCACTCCTCTTCAACCTCTTCCCGGCCCCCCCTGCTGCCGCTCCTATCCCCATTGTCTTTGACCCCCCCTGCTGCCCCCTCCCCCCGGCCCCCTGCTACCCCACCTCTCGATGTCGTCCAGCTCCAGGATGGCCTCCTTCTCGAAGCGCAGGAAGAGGTGCTCGAAGATCTCGGTCTGCTCCACACACTCCTGGGCCACGAAGGCGGCGATGGCAATCATGGCCTGGATGGGGAGCGAGGGGGGGGGAAGGGAAGGAAGGAAGGAGGGCCGGGATGCAGGGAGGCATGTCACGGAGGGCAAGCAGGGATAAAGAAGGCAGCGGATGGCCCTGCTGCTGGTGCTGCCAAGCATAGCGGTAAGCCGATGACAGCCATGCATGAACAAGGCAGCGGATGGCTGCTGCTGCTGCCCTTTGTGGTGGACTCGCATGCGGAGCGAGGTATGCTGGGAGCAGCCAACTGCTGGCTGCGAGCCGTTACCGTGTCGTCCGTTTCTTTCCTTCTCCCATGTCTTGCTGCTAGCTGCCTTTGTCGCTGTGATGCCGCCCTACCTCACCATCCCCAGCCCTACTCACCAGGCGGCCGTTGTTGAGCTCCTTGGTCTTCATGACCTTGAGCTCCTCGGGGTCGGTGGGCTTCAGGCCCAGCGGGTCGAAGCTGCGAGGGGGCGGCAGCGGGTGGAAGGGAGAGCATGGGGGGTACTCAGACGACGCCAAGCAACAAGCATGCATGCAGTCCGGGCATACCCGTAGCAGTTCGGGGGCTGCTCAGGGACGTCCACATCACACACAGTCCAAAGCCTTGCAAAGCCCAGACCTGACCGCCTTCTGGCCAGCCGTCCCCTCCATCCATCCGCCTCACCCCAGGTCGCCGGGCTCGTAGTCGTCTTTGAGGCTGTTGAAGCCGGTGTTGGTGGGGGTGGCCCAGCCGATGGCCACGCGGTAGGACTCCGCGATGCCGATTGCGATCAGCAGCGGCTCCCAGAAGCCCTGGCCGATCTGGGAGAAGTGCGTGATGGCGGGGCCTGGAGGGGGCGGGAGGTGGGAGTGCAAGGGAGCAGGCGGCGAGGGAGGGGGAGGTCAAGCAGTTGCGTAGGTGGTATGGAGGGAGTTGGCTGGGGCGAAGGATTTGAGGGAGCCGGCAATGGGCTGACATGGGCTCACAGGCAAGCATATTCAGGCAACAGGTGGATTGGTAAAGGCTAAAGGGACATGCTAGCAGTCAGTTCTTAACCCCCACCTGACACCCTGCCGTCCCAGTTGAAGAAGAGCGGGTAGTCTTGCAGCTGCTCGCCCACAATGAAGCCCAGCGCGGCGAGCATGGATACGCGGCCATGGACAATCTCCGACTCACGCCAGCGGCGAATGTCGCGGACACTCGCTGTGCGCGCAAATCCGGCTGGGTCGAAGATATCCTCAAAAGGGGCGGTGATGCCAGGCAGGGTCTTCAGGTCTGATACAGTCAAAGGGTAGGAGGATTCCATGGGAATGCTGACCGAAATGACATGAGCGAAATACCTGGATATACTGTACGTAAATGTAACTGCTAGAGGAAAAGGAAGTAATGAAACAGCACCATGTAGGGGAACCAAATAGACGGCGGCGGGGTGTTATATTCGACGCTCCAACTTACATTCGACGCTCGGGGGCTCGGCAGGTCGCGGCTCTGGGGCACCATTGTCCTTTCCAGAAACAGTCCTGCCGACTCGAGCAATAACTGAGCGGCGGATTGCTGGCGAAGCTCCGGCCTTGAAAGCGACGGGCTGGCGGATGGCGTTCATCTTGCACGACTTGCAGGGCGAAAGTAGGTAGTAGGCGACGTTCTTGGTGGGCTATTACAGACACCTCTGCATACCGGTATAGGTACTTGCCACAATTTATAGTAGCGGGCATTGGCAACCCTCCTATCCACCGGACCTACGACGCCCGTACATTAACTAACCAACGGACAACCCGAGAGCCAACTTCCCACTGATACCACAAGCGGACGCATCCAGTTCACCTATGCCTTATTTAACCCATCCTACTACGTCTTAAGTTTTGACGCTCCCAACTGTTGTATGAGTTCCTCCTGTTACCTGAAGGCATGGATGGACCACTAATGAATTCGACTGCACGCCGCTGCGGCTATGCACCTATGCGTCTGTGGCTATGAATCTGGGCTTCTAATATTATAACATTGTTATTTGTACTCGGTACGAGCGGCAGGAACATCATTAGATTTATCACAGGAACCCCAGGGGCGTGGCTTGCATACGCATGGATCTTTGCAAGTCCCCTTGCCTCCTTCTCACTACCAGTCGTACCGGTATAGAATCCGTTTCTACTACATGAAAGGCAATCCCACGAAGTCCATTACTGTCGCATGCAAAACTCATTTCCAGGTGCCCTAGTCCACACACCACCGAAGAGAATACCCGGTAATCCGTCCTTAGTAGAAGCAGAAGCAGGCGAAGACCATGTGTCTCACCCACACCATCCCTTGCCCAGACCCGCCCGTCCCTATGTGCTCCTTCCTCGCGCAACATCACACCACACGACTCAGGTGCTCTGATGGTGTAAACGCATATGCAGCATTGCAGTAGGTGCGGATGCGACGCAGGCCTTAGACACACACTCTCTCTCTTACACACACACAAACACACACACACACACACACACTCAACATAGCCAACGGACTTCACTTCACCTGTGGCGTTTTCGGTGGGAGGACTCCATCTTTCGGCAATCACAGTACGTTTCGCCTCGCGGCCAGTTATTTTAACACACACTCAACCAACGGACTTCACTTCACCTGTGGCGTTTTCGGTGGGAGGACTCCATCTTTCGGCAATCAAAGTACGTTTCGCCTCGCGGCCAGTTATTTTAACACACACACACACTCTCTCTTGTTCTACTCAACTACACCCCACACCACCACCACACACCGCATCATGGATGCCCACCTGCATGCATGCCCCCCCCCATTCCCCACCCTCATATGTTCCACTCGATAGCCGTAACACCCATGAATGCTGCAAGCCTCCAGGCAAGCTCCAAACCAGCTAATCACATCTAATCTAATCTAGCGGCCTGGATAGTGGCATCAGGAGCACCAACTCATCCCGCAGGCCCAGCAGCCACTCCAGCTGCCGCCGCCGCAGCACATCGGGGCCACCAGCATCCGTTGCGGCGTCCCACGCCTCCTGCACCACCTGTGCGGGCGGGGTAAACGGGAAGTGACGGACAGTGTGAGCACAAGTCCCATTGATTCCATGTCAGTATCCCGGTAGGGGAAAGCATGGGGTACGCGGGATTATTTAAAAAGCCATGTAATGGCGAATCAGCGACAATCCCGTACAATGGTATGATCCCTCCATACGACCATTGGGCATGCAACCGCTGGACGCTGCAAACCACAGAGAACTGTAAATGCTGCCATGCGGTGTCTGGGACCGTAAGTAACGGCGATTCATACATGCCTACACGAGAGCTGCAGCTCAAGATCTGCAGTTGTTTATTTATGCCCCCGTCCAGTACAAGTTACCCAGCAGGGACTTTTCAACGTTGGACACACTGTCCCACCTCACCTTCTCAAAGACAGCCATGAAGAAGGACGCGAGGCTTTCCTCCGCGTGCCAAAATACCGAAAGAACCTCCCGCACTACCACTGGCAGCACCTGAAGTGAGGCGGCCGTGGCTCCTGCTGGGGCCGCTGTTGCTGCAGTGGAGGTTGCCACTCCCTCTGCTGCTTGCGTGATTGCTGTCGCCGCTTGCAGCACTGCTGCCACCGTGCCCTCGCAACACTTCACAAGTACGGCATCCGTGGGCGGCAGAGCCAGGTACCCTGCAATGCAGCGTTGTCCTCTTCCTCCGCTGTCGCCACCAACACCAGTGACGAGGGCCGCTGCCCGCGTTTCCACCACCTTCATCCACTGCCTCAGCAGGCCTTTGTCTTGGGACAGAACCGCCATCAACGGGCCCTTCATCAGCAGCACTGGCGAAATAAAGCCGGCGAGGGCAGCAGGTAGGGCAGGAGTGGTTACCGCTGCTGCCCCTGCTCCAGTGGCCACAGCAAGGCTGGAGTGCTGCGTACCCTCCGCTGCTGGCCCCGCCACAGCAGCAGGTCCAGTCATCATGTGTGGCACCATGCGCTGGATCAGCTCTCGCGTGGAGGGCAACGGCGGCGGCGGCGATGCTGGTTGCGGTGGCGCAGGTAGGGAGGGGGGAGCGAACTGGCCGCTGGCGGCCCCGCTTGCCTCAGCCTGAGCCAGCGAGGAGAGCGGCCCCTCACCCGTCACTGATGGCGCTTCCCTGTCATTCCAAAGACTGAGCTCAAAGGCGTGCGGGTCAGCTTCGTCGCCTTCGTCTTCGCCGTACAAGGGGAACTCAATCTCAAACCGCCGCGGTGCAGCTTGCAGCTCCAGGACTTGCAGAACCCGATCGGCCATTGCATCGACGCTTGTGCACATGCAGCCAATCTCCAGTTCCACCACATGCCGCCGCAGCGACTGCAGCTGGCACACCGCATCGCCAGACAGTGGCCACTCCTCCTGCTCCTCTGCCAAGGTATCGATCCGGAACCGTTCCAACCGCCGCTGCTGCGGTTGCTGGTCAGACGGTTGCTGCTGCTGCTGCTGCTGCGTACCGGCTTCCAGCAGGAGTGGCATTAGCCCGCCGCGCCCAAGTATGGTCGCTATGCACTCAAGGTTAGGGATCTGCTGCTTCCCCAGTAGTTCTGCTTCGCGGACACGGCCCGCGTCCAGGCGGAGGTCCAGGGAGACTCCTCTGGCGGCCAAGCAATCGCAATAGTGGAGCTGCAGAAGCTGCAGTGAGGGTGGCAGGCTGTGCAGCAAGAGCCGCAGTGAGGAGTGGCCAATGGGTGGCCTTTGGGCTAACCCATTTTTGTCAGCTGCCTCTGACTCATCTGCAATGATGAACCCCTGCAAGCGCAGATCCTGCAGCGAAGTTGGCCAGCTGATGGACATGAGCGTTCTGGGATCCAGAAGTACGCCCTTATAACACAAACTGCCGTACACACTCAGGGACCTCAAGCTGCTGTTGCTGCCACTGCTGTTGTTGCCAGCCAAGATGCCAAGGTACTCGAGCACGTTGCCCGGCAGGGTAAGCCGTTGGAGGTGCCGCAGGGAGGCAAGGCTGTCGAACAGGGCATGCTGCGCCACCGGACTGTACGACATACCATGTAGCTTATGCAGCCCCAGCTCCTCTAGTGCTGGCAGCCTTGACACCAGGGCTGTCACAACGGGTTCCATGTGTTCATCCTCTGCGTCGTCCTGTGCGCCGAGCGGCTGCGGCTCCAGCCGCAGAGTCATCTTCTTGATCCGCATCCGGGTTTGCAGCGGCGCACTTTCAAAGCAGCGAAAGCATGTTGAGATTATACGCGCTGCATGGGCCCGGCCGAAATCCCGCAAATTGAGGGTAACCGAGTTACAGAGGGGCCAACGTGACAGAGCTGGCGCGACGCCAGTCTCCCAGTCCTCCAGGTTTCCATGGTGTAAACCCAGTTTTGTTTCGCCTGCCCTCCCTGGATGCACGGCGCGAAGTAACCCAGTTATAACAACTTACAAGCACGTGTGCCGGCTAGACGCACAGTTACTCACAGCACTGCAGCAGCCCTAAACAAAACTCGCAACCATTCAAGGGTGTCAGGACCTGACTTCCTACGTCACCTAGCTCGTCTGCAAACACGTCCCCTACAGCCTCCGCTAGCCTTAATTCCGACGCACCCATCCCCAAGCCCAAAGAGGGGTGTTAACTGGAAATGGGGGAGTACAATGCACTGCGCCGGCCTGGGCCGCCCGCAGGTGTGCCTGCCATGCCGCTGCCTACTATGCCGGACAGGCAACCGCATGCAGGTGCACGAACAACCCCCCGGGCTTCAAAGGGTGGGTGGGTGGGAAACTAAAATCTTACGGAGGCGCCTAAAGATCAACCAACCGCGGCCCTAAACAGCCAGCAAGTAGACAGCGTCAGCAACATAGGAGTAAAGAGCCAGTAAGCAAGTCAACTCCAGCAGTAAACAGTCAACCAGGAACGCCGTACATCGACCTGATGCGGGCTTAAGGCGCTCCAAAACCACATTTTTGCTTGACGCCAAAATTAAACTTTTGTTTCGCCTGCCCTCCCTGGATGCACGGCGCGAAGTAACCCAGTTATAACAACTTACAAGCACGTGTGCCGGCTAGACGCACAGTTACTCACAGCACTGCAGCAGCCCTAAACAAAACTCGCAACCATTCAAGGGTGTCAGGACCTGACTTCCTACGTCACCTAGCTCGTCTGCAAACACGTCCCCTACAGCCTCCGCTAGCCTTAATTCCGACGCACCCATCCCCAAGCCCAAAGAGGGGTGTTAACTGGAAATGGGGGAGTACAATGCACTGCGCCGGCCTGGGCCGCCCGCAGGTGTGCCTGCCATGCCGCTGCCTACTATGCCGGACAGGCAACCGCATGCAGGTGCACGAACAACCCCCCCAACCCAGTTCGACTCGGTCGCTTCCTGCATGCGGATTCTACTGGTGCACGCTCACGTGGCCTCTAATCACCAACAGCCGTGGGTCCACGAACACGCAATAGCGTCACTAACCGGCCTCGACTGAGCCGTAGCCCCGCTGTGGCTGTAGAAACGCTGATAGCCAGCTGGTCCGCGGCGCCCACAACCGCGAAGGTCCCCTCGCCCGTAAAAGCCCCCTACTCTGGTCTTGCTCCGTGATCTCCTCGTCCGAAGCCAGGGACCCGTGGACCTCCAAATTCCCGAAGGCCGGCTAGCTCGCTGCAGCGCCGCAACACCAGAGGCGGCGGGCCGCAGCTGCAGGGTCGCTGTCAGGTCCTCTCGTCCTGCACCTCCGCCTGCGCCCCCGGCTGCAACAAGGCCGCTGCGTCGGTGAGGGTTACTACTCTGAGAATCCCCCACCACCCAGTCATGATCTGAGACGACGCAGCAGTTGGCACCGTCCCACGTGGGCGCGTGAGGGTCGTACAGCTCCGTGAGCCCGGCTGCTGTTGAGGTTACCATGGTGGCTGGAAAAGTGGTTCCCGTGCCGCAGCGTTGCGAGAGGTAGGGAAATGGACGCCGCACTGACGCCATGCTGTCTTGCGCGGCGGTCTGTCGCCAGGCCCGTGCCAGCTGGATTGGACCCACGCATCTGCCGCATGTCTTCCTCTCAATTGCCTGCGAGGAGGAATGGGGCGCTAGGGGAAGGGGGGCAGCGTAGAGGGGGGGAGCCGCGACGCGCGCGGCCCGCTTTGGCTGCCGAGGCGGTCGGCAGCCCGGGGTAACCAGCAGGAGGTCCCGCACGCCCGGTGGCTTCCAGAAAAGAACACATCAGTACACAAGGCCTCGGCAGGTGGTCACGGCAATATACAGGTCATGGCAGGTGGTCAAGCCAATACATAGATCACACGACACAATGCAATGCCCTTCTCGCGGCATGCACACCCTTTACGCTCGCGACGCAGTCGGGCGGGCCCTTCTCGCGGTACCTGCGCCTCGTCTCCCCCGACGGCAGGGTGACAACACACGGTGCAATGCCCTTCTCGCGGCACGCACACCCTTTACGCTCGCGGCGCAGTCGGGCGGGCCCTTCTCGCGGTACCTACGCCTCTCTCCCCCGACGGAGGGGTAACAACACAGCGCAATGCCCTTCTCGCGGCATGCACACCCTTTACGCTCGCGGCGCAGTCGGGCGGGCCCTTCTCGCGGTACCTGCGCCTCGTCTCCCCCGACGGCAGGGTGACGACACATCACGCAGCCCCCTAAGGCCTGTCGACCGGAGGGCAGGACTCACCATTGCAGTCGCTTTCAGAAGCGGCGGCGCACCCGCCGCTGCCTCATCCCTAAATGAGCTGGGTGGCTGGGCGTGCTGCCTCCCCCTGCACACGCAGGGCCTGCGGCGAGTGTCGCTGCGAGCGAACACTGCGTGCTGTGCGGCCCCTCGGGCTCTGGAAAGCTGCGGAAATCGACGTATGGATGCCGGCGGAGTGCCGGTGCGGGCGCCGACCCGGCAGTCGAAGGGCCTTGAGCTAGCGTTGCGGAGGCCGTGAAGGCGCGGAAGTGTTCCGGCTGCCATAGTTTACCATAGTTCCGTACCTGCCATAAACTGCGTTTCATTGTCACTGGTTAGCGCAAACAGAAGTGACTGCAGGGCCTGGCTGGCGCGGCTGCGGTTCCGAGCTGTCATGGCTTCCACGTTTCTCAGCATTTGCACATAAGGCTGCGCGAGCCCAAACGTGCGCGTAATTCTTCGTTATTTATGTTGTTGCGGCATGGCTGGTACTGTATGGCTAACGGTCATTGCGGAGTTGCGTTGACTTATTTAGATGGGCCTCAGCTGCTTGGGGGTTCTTTTCTCTGTGTTGTTACCAGAGGCCCTGTCTGCTGCCGTAAGAGGTGCATAATCGCCGTAGCAAACTAAAATCTTACGGAGGCGCCTAAAGATCAACCAACCGCGGCCCTAAACAGCCAGCAAGTAGACAGCGTCAGCAACATAGGAGTAAAGAGCCAGTAAGCAAGTCAACTCCAGCAGTAAACAGTCAACCAGGAACGCCGTACATCGACCTGATGCGGGCTTAAGGCGCTCCAAAACCACATTTTTGCTTGACGCCAAAATTAAACTTTAATTTCCCGAAAGTTTTGATCAATTACGTCGCGCAGCTCGAGACAAGCCAAGCGAGTATTCTTGATATCATTATTAATCCGCAAGGTATCTAAGAAAACCCCCAAAGCAGGAACGCTAAGCTGACGAAGCACATCCGCAAGGTGCAGCTGACGATTGCGAGGATGCGTTGCCCCAACAGAGCTAACTTTTGCAGCTCGCATACTGCGAAGTATACTAATCACCGAAGCCTAATTGCCGAAGCCAAGTTTCGGATTTAAACACACCGTGGGTTGAAAGCTGGAAGCAGCCACAAGTACCATCAACAGTGCAGCGGCCCGATGGACGTAAAAAAATTTTGCATACAATGTTAATCTTATTCTACATGTTGCAGGAGTAAGCCAGCCAACGAGCTTGCGTACGACTGTCACTAAGATACGTGGATTCTACTGTAAATGTGCAACACTGCTTGCATCCGTTGCATGTCTTGCTGGTCAATTTACCCTCAAACTGCAAGAGACTTCAATGAAAGTCAAGCTTCAAGAGCTGGCCTAAGAACCATATACCGCAGTCCCCCCGACCACTGCAGTTGCCGCCACAACACCCTCAACCGCCAGGCCCCCAACATATTGGCTTGCATCCCAGCCTGCTGCCGCGTGAAAACGGTACTCAAGTTACAAAGCTAAACGCTAACCCCCACATCCGCGTGCTGGTAGCCTCCGACTACCCCACGCTCACGCTGCTTCCTGCTCCTCGTGTGGGTTTTGGACATTTCACTACACTGCAGCAAGAATGCTTTCTCCTTTTTATCCAGGAGATAAGTGCGGAGCCAGCACGCCAGGGCCCAGCCGAGCCCCCGTAACCCGTTGACAATTGCTTGTGCCTTGCAGGGTGTCATACTGTCATCCTGCAGGCCTCGGGCGCATGGGGCAGCTGACCATAAGATGATAAGAAGCACCATCGGAACCATTGACACGATCATTCATTCAAGAAGCAACCCTTCCACCGATAGCCCCATTCCCTAAATGCGGCTACTGCTTTCGTTTGTCAAGAGCAGCTCGCAGTATGGCATGCACAAGCTGCCGCCGAAGCACCATCATTGGTGTTGTTGCGGTGTAGATAACCTTACCCTGCTGTACCACAACTCCTACCATACGCCTTCTCTCTGCAGCGATCACAACCAGGCACGCGACACACCGGCTTGCCGAGCCAATACGCCCCAAACCCACGAACACAGTCGTACAGCATGCCACGAGCAAGGTCAAAGGTCCTGAGAATGGCCAAGAACACCATTCCTCACATCTTTGATAGAAACAACGTTGCCGTACAGTAATTGTGATATATGCATGCATTGCCGTCACCTCCCGTTGCTCCTTTCCACACTTGCTAGGAGGGCACTCTCCTAACCCCGGAAGGCCCTGAAGCGACCTCCCTAGTGTGAAGGACGAGCATCCCCGAAATGAAGCTCCCGCTTCCGTCCCAACTGCACATCTCCGGCATCCTATATATGCACACATAACCATGTGCCCGCTGTAGCACCGCAAAAGGTAGGTGTGAATGCGACACAAGTATCACGCCCACAGCACAAATCGTCACGACGGATGCATACATGCATGCATACCGGTACCCCTCTCATTCCCTGCCCCCATGTCCACTCGCCGACGGCCCCAGCAAGCATGTACGCTACAAGCCGCGAGGCAAGGTGAGCCCCCCCCCCTCCCGGCAACTAATCTAGCGGTCTGGACAGCGGCATCAAGTCCCACACATCATGCATCAGCCCCAGCAGCCACTCCAGCTGCCGCCGCAGCACATCGGGACCGCCTGCTTCCGTTGCGGCGTCCCACGCCTCCTGCACCACCTGTGCGGCCGGGAGTAGTGGGGTTTAGCGGGGGTGGGCAGGTAAACGGGGGATGGCAGACAGAAGATTCAGGTTGGTATCCAGTTGGCACCCCAGTTGCCCGTCAAGAAAATGTTCGCATGGGGTAATTGGGGCTCTTATGAAGCCATGGAGCGGAGAATCAGACAAAGCCTGGTATTATCTACTCTGTATACGCGCATGGGTGCTCTTAACCGCACAAAATTGCAACGCATACATGCCGTATCTGGGATCAAAAGAAGCGCCGACCCATACAAGCCTACGCAAGCACTGCGGCTCAAAAAACTAACCTAATGTCTACACCCCTTACGAGTTGGCGTGGGGCACACCGTCCCCCCCCTCACCTGCTCAAAGACAGTCAAGAAGAAGTGCGCGAGGAACCCCTCCAAGAATCGCGAGGGAGCCTCCCTCAGCGCCACTGGCAACACCTGCAGTGAGGCGTCAGCTGCTGCTGCTGTTGCTGCAGTGGAGGCTGCCACTCCCTGCGCTGCTTGCATGATTGCTGTCGCCGCCTGCAGTACTGTTGCAGCGGTACCCGGGTTACACCCCACAAGCACAGCGTCGGTGGATGGCAGAACCAGATACCGAACAATGCAGCGTCGTCCTCCGCCGACGCCACCACACGCGGTAAGGGCGGCTGCCCGCTTTTCCAACGTCTTCAACCACTGCTCCAGCAAGCCTTCATCTTGGGCCAGCAACGCCATGAACGGGCCCTTCATCAGCAGCACTTGCGGACTAGTGGCCATCCAGTCGGGGAGGGCAGAAGTGGTCGGCGCTGCCGCCCCTGCTCCAGTGGCCATAGCAAGGCTGGAGTGCTGCGTACCCTCCGCTGCTGGCCCCGCCACAGCAGCAGGTCCAGTCATCATGTGTGGCACCATGCGCTGGATCAGCTCTCGCGTGGAGGGCAACGGCGGCGGCGGCGATGCTGGTTGCGGTGGCGCAGGTAGGGAGGGGGGAGCGGATTGGCCGCCGACGGCCCCGCTTGCCTCAGCCACTGGCTGCTGCATGATGCTACTTGTCGCCTGCCGTACGTTCCGTATCATGATCGGAAAGGTATCGGGGTCGTCATCAGGCAGGTCTTTGTTTTCGCCGTACATAGGGATCTCTAGTTCAAACCGCTGCGGCGCAGGTTGCAGCTCCAGGATTTGCTGCAATCGATTTGACATCACGTAGACGTTTGTGCTGACACGACCGATTTCCAGCTTTAAAACACTACGTCCCAGCGCCTTGAGAGAATCCACCTTATCCTCAGGCAGCGGGTCCTTATCTTCCACCTCTACCAAGGTATTGATACGGAATCGCTCCAAGCGCCGCCGCTGCTGCTGCGGCTGTGGAGGCCGCTGCTGTGTGCCCTGCGTGCCCTCTCCCAGCAGGAGCGGCATCAAACCACCAGGGCCAAGTATGGTTGCTAGGAAATCTAGGTCAGTATCCTGCATCGGTAGTTCTGCTTCGCGGACACGGCCCGCGTCCAGTCGGAGGTCCAGGGAGACTCCTCTGGCGGCCAAGCAATCGCAGTAGTGGAGCTGCAGCAGCTGCAGTGAGGGTGGCAGGCTGCGCAGCAAAAGCCGCAGTGAGGAGTGGCCTTTGGGCGTATAGAAAGACTCCTCAAACTCATCTGCAATGATAAACCTCTCCAAGCGCAGTTCCTGCAGCGAAGATAGCTGGCTGATGGAGTCGAACGTGGCGGGGTCCAGCTGTACGTCCTCAGTAGCGCCTGCACCGCCGTCTACATGCAGGCACCTCAAGCTGCTGTTGCTGCCAGCCAAGACGTCAAGGTACTCGAGCACGTCGCCTGGCAGGGTAAGTCGCTGGAGGTGTCGCAGGGAGGCAAGGCTGTCGAAGATGGACCGCTGTGCCATCGGATTGTACATCATGCCACCTAGTCCGTGCAGCTCCAGCTCCTCTAGTGCCGGCAGCCTCAGGAGCAGCGCTGACAAGACAGTCTCCATGTGCTCGTCGTCTGTGTCGCGCAGCCGCGGCTCCAGCTGCAGCGTCAGCCGCTTAATACGCCTCCGGGTCTGCCGCGGTGCACGTTTAAGGCACTGGAAGCATGTTGAGATGATGTGCGCGACCTGCGCCTGATCGAAAGCCTCGGCACCAGTGATGTTGAGGGTTACAGAGCTGCAAAGGTGCCAACGTGACATGCTTGGCACAACGCTTGGCTCCCAGGTTTTCTGGTCTTGATGCCGTACGTTCAGCTTAACTTCCCGCATGTTTTGGTCAATTACGTCGCGCAACTCGCGACAAGCCAGGCGTGCATTTTGGACGTCCTTCGACTTCCGCAAAGCTTCAACGAAAGCTTCCAATGCAGGGACGCTAAGCTCACGAAGCACATCCGAAATGTGCAGCCGACCGCCGTAAGGAAGCGTCGCCCCTCTAGAGCAGGTTACTATTGCAGCTTTCATATGAAAAGGTTGCTGTAAAACCACCGAAATGAAATGCCAGGGTCAAACTTGTTTTGTACACCCCGTGGGTGCAACCCGCTAGCTCTAAAGGAAGCAGCCGCAAAAGGTAGTAGTAGACCGAAGGAAAGACGCACGGATACGTAATACATCGCAAATGATTGTCTCCCGATCCACCTGTCGCGCCGGAAAGCGGACAGACGAACTAACGTACGGCTACGCTTTAGGATCCATGGATTCGCCAGTAAACTTACTTTCACCATTTTACCAATGAAAAATAGAGGACAGGATAATCACCCTTCATGGCCTTCGATCGACTACAGCGCGAGCCAGACAACCGGCGACAGCTTGAAAACTTCTTCCGGCAGCCCCAGTAGCCATTCCAGCTGCCGCCGCAGCACATCGGGACCGCCAACCTCCGCAGCGGCGTCCCACGCCTCCTGCACCACCTGTGCGGCCGGGTGGAGTGGGGTTAGCGGGGAGCACGGTGGACTCCAGGTGGAGGCTGAAACCCAGACAAAGTGTTCGTGCAAACCAAACACGTCATGGAACAGGGTAGTTGCTTGGGCCGCTTGTAGTGCACCTCTTTGGTACGTGAGCTTTTTCACACCCCTCCGCACCAGAGACCACGCCCCTCTGCCTCATCCGTCATCACTCACCCGCTGCATGACATCTTTAAAAACGTACAGGAGAGGTCCTCCCTCCAGCTCATCCTCTCCCCTCTCAAGGCCCGCCAGATCCAGGGCAACAGGCAGCACCTGCAGCAGGCCAGGCACTGCCGCTGTTGCCGTCGCGCCAGCAGCGGCGGCGTCGGGCCCCCCAGCAGGCACCTGCACCATGGCAGCAGCTGCTCGCATCACTGCCACCGACATCCCCTTGTCGCACTCCACAAGTACGGCATCCGTGGGCGGCAGAGCCAGATACCCTGTAATGCAGCGTTGTTCGCCGCCGCTACCACCACCACCAGCGGAGGCCAGGCCTGCTGCCCGAGTTTCCAGCGCGTTCATCCAGTGCTTCAGCAGACCAGCGTTTGACAGGAACGTCACATAGAGGCCCCTAAAGAGCAGCACTGACGAGGTGGACGGTGGTGACACAATAGCGGCCGTGCCAGCAGAGGCACGGAGGGCAGGAGCACCCGATGATGGAACCACTGCTGCCGCCGCTGCTGCTGCGGCGGCGGTCAAATCAGCAGGGCCCGAGTACAGCCCAGTTGCTGAGGCCGCTGCTGCAGCCGCTGTTGTTGCCACTGCCTGACCAGGCTGCTGCCCCATGCGGGCTACCATACGGTGCAGCAGCGCACCCAGGGAAGGCAGGGACACTGCCGATCCCGAGGATAGCGCTGTTGCTCCTCCCGCTGCCGCTCGTGGTGGTGCTGCTGCTGCTGCTGCTGCTGCTGATACTGCTGATGAAGGCACGCCGCTCCCCCCCTGGCGCCGCCCAGACATGATATCCACCTCAAACAGGTCCATGTCATTAAGGTCGTCGACAGGCGATGCAAACGTAATCACAACCCGCCCCGGCGTCACCCCCAGCAACTCCACAGCCTGCAGGACGGGCCCCGGCAGCGCCTCCGCGCCCACCTTGAGGCAGCCCACCTCGGGCCGCTGTACGACACTACACCGCAGCTCTCGAAGCAGCTCCGAAACCTCCGCCGGCAGCAGCGCCTGGAAGGGCGGTGCCTCCAGCGTGCCGATGCGGAAGCTCGTAAGTCGCCGCTGCCCCTGCTGTGGCTGCTGAGGTTGCACCAGCTGTGGTGTTTGAGGTGATGGCGGCTGCTGTGCCTGCCGCTGCTGCGGGCCATCTTCAAGCAGCAGGGATAGCAGCCGGCCGCGCCCGAGCAGGGCCGTCAGCGAATCGAGCTCGATCCCGTTATTAGGCCCCGGAGCCAGGTCCACCTGCGTGACCCGACCGGCGTCAAGGCGCAAGTCCATGCAGAGGTCGATGGCGCCCAGGCAGCGGCAGCGGTCCAGCTGCAGCAGCTGCAGGGAGGGCGGCAGGCTGCGCAGCAACCGCCGGAACGACGATCGGCCCGTGTAGGCGTCAGAGGTGGTGGTCTCGGTGCCATCACGGAAGGAAAAGCTTGACAAACACAGCTCCTGAAGCGATGTAAGACGCGTGATAGAGCTGAACGTCTTAGGGTTGAGGCGGCTGAGGAGCCCAAGGAACACGCCGCTGCTGTTCTTGCCGTACAACTCCAAGCGCCTGAGGCGGCTGCCGCTGTCGCCCAAGGTTCCCAGGTGCTTGAGCGCCTCGCCGCCCGGCAGGGACAGCCGTTGAAGGTACGGCAGGGATGCCAGACTGTCGTACATGATCCGCTGCTGCATGAGGGTGTACGACATGCCGCTCAGAGCTCGCAGCTCCAGCTCCTCTAGTGCTGGCAGCCGCTGAGCCAGCGCTGTCACGACTGCCTCCGTGTGTTCGCTCCTTGCACACTCTAGCTGCACCTCCAACCGCTTAATCCGCTGCCTAGCTGTTAGCGGAACGCCGGTGAAGGGCAGCAAACCCAACCCAAACAAGTTGGCGGTGGGGGTTCGGAGGCCGTACAGATGGAAAGAGAGGGTTACGGAGCGGCAGAAGGGCCAACGTGAGATGGAGGGCGCTTGGCCAGCCTTCCAAAGGCGCAGGTCGCGCGGACGAACGGTCAGCTGTAGCTCCCGCACGTTGTTATCGACTAGGGCTCGGAGCTCGCGACTAGCCAAGCGAAGGCTCCGGAGGGATCTGTGGCTGCTTAAGGAGTGCATGAGAGCGTCCAATGCAGGGGCGCTCAGCTCGTGAAGCACGTCCGCGAGGTGTAACCGACGCTGATGCTGTGGGCGTTGGTGAGGCATGGAGGCAGCCGTTGTTACTGCTGCCGCTGCTGCTTAAATTTGTATGCGGATATGCGTAATGTACGCGGAGATGCGTAATAGACAAAAAGACAAAGGTCAAGGACAGAGCCCTTGTTAGGGAGGCCGTGGGTTGGAAGCAAGCGCTCGTCGTGCAAGCGTTCGTTGCCGGTCAAGCAAAGCGATCGGATCAGGGGACAGTTCCAAGAAACCCTAGTCCAGGCAACGTTTGCCAGGGCGATCTGGAACCATGCGTTGGAGGTTCGTCCATTCGGTTAGTATCAGTTACCTTGCAACGGGTGTCATGTCAAGGGAGTAGCAGTCTAATTGCGGTTGTTGCTAACAAAGCAAGGAGTCTGCCACCAGCCACGGATGACATTCACCTATAGTATCCTGTTTTCGTTGTGCTGCAGCCAGCTTGCAGGTGCTGATGTCCATCGCCTCTGCTGGCCAATACTTTCCTCCTCCTTGGTCTCGTCTGTGAGCTTTGTAGGAGTCATTGTAGATGGCTGGCCTACGCCTTTGTCGTAGGACTGCAGTGTGGGAGCAGCAGAGGACATGGCGGGGGAACGGTGCTTCAAGTTGTAAGCCACGCGGTGAACCGCGGTTCAGCCATCTTCTGATGGGTCTTAGTAAGGCGCCACATCTTAAAATCAAGAACGCAGCTCTGCTGAAAGCCATACCATTTGAAGTGCATTGCCCGAGTGCACCGGTGCGATTTAGCTAAATCCAATCACTGGTCGGGCCAACGGTGAACCAACCACCTGACATCTCACCATGTATCTGCATTGCCTTGATTTTGAAGCTCGTATTACTGTCATGTTTCTCTAATTGTAGCGCTGCAAAGTTGTCTAGGCAGCTTCGCAACATGGCTGTGACACCATTGCTTGCACTGCTTTTGGCACTCATTGTAGCACCGCCGGTTTCAACACTTGCTGCGGATGATGTAACTGGACGGGACTTAGTAGGGTGAGCGACAAACTTGGTTTGAACCTTCCATGGAACCCTTGGCGAAACGTTAGCGCGCCTTCCTTCAGGTGGCTTGGTGAAACCTATGCACGAGGAGGACGGAGCGATTTGCCTGACAGCAGGATGGTCGTGCTCTCATGGCATCCCCGTATCTTTTTGTACAAGGGAATCCTTACGCATGGCAAGTGCGAAGCTGCATTGGCGACTTCGGCCATCACTGCAGCTTTTATCCATACTCTGGTTTGCGAATGCAGATGAATGCGACTTCCTTATTGAGGAAGCAACTAGTCGCCTGGAACGATCCGGCGTTTCCGATTCAGTAACCGGAGCGGGGGGCCTTTCTGATATTCGCACTTCCTCCGGCATGTTCTATGGTACGAGGGGTGTAGGGGAGGGAAAGGGAGTCAAACGAACACAATGCGCCTGTCCCTGCTGTGATGCCGTGGCATGGTCCTGTGGCAGCAGGGTACTTCTTAGCGTCGCCTCACCTTCTCAATTAATTTTCCCCCTCCTTCCACACATTGGATACCGGTATTCTTTTCCACCACCCCAGTCCGCGGCGAGAACCCGGTGGTGAAGCGCATTGAGGAGCGGCTGGCCATGTGGACCATGCTGCCGGTGGAGAACGGGGAGGGCATCCAGGTGTTGCGGTACCAGGTGAGGGGGGGGACGGGGAGGGGGGGGGTAAAAAATATATATATAGGGGGGGGGAGCGGGGGAGTGGGTGTGGGTGTGGCGGGCAGGAGTAGAGGAGGAAACCCACCCAGGGGACAAGGAACCACTTCTATATGTGGTGTGGGGGGTGGGGGGTGGGGGTGGAGGAGAGGCATTGCGCACCCAAGCAGGTGGTAGGACCAGGTCCTGTGTGCCAAGAAAACTGGCCGGTAGCACCAGGTTGTGTGTAGTTGAGTAAAACAAGAGCAAGCAGTTGGGATAGGTTCGCATGTGAACCGCGAGCACCAGGTTGTGTGTGTGCGAGTGTTTTCCCGTGTGCAAAACACATGGAGACAGACGACACGCGCTGCCGTACCTCCTGGCCAATGAGCACCATGTGCACGCAATTGCAGAAGACACAAAAGTACGACGCGCACCACGACTACTTTTCCTTCGAGGGAGCGGATGAGAACGGAGGCAACCGGTGAGAGGGGCCTTGCTGGGGGGGAGAGGCGTGGGGAAGGCGAGGAAGAGGTGGGGAGGTGGGGTCCGCGGTAAGGCGGAGCGGGCGGGCAGCAGTGCACATATTGGGGGGTTCGGGTTTTGCCTTTGCTCTGCCTTCCGCCTTCTCCCACTTCCCCTGTACGGAGAAGTCCAGCCCTGTCCTGGCCTCCGTACCCCATACCGCCTTACCCGCACCTCCCCTCCCTCCCTCACCCCACCTCCCCGCACCTCCCCTCCCTCCCTCGCCCCCCACCCAGCATGGCTACCGTGCTCATGTACCTGTCGGCCCCCGAGGAGGGCGGTGAGACGGTGTTTCCCAAGGTAGGCTGGGGCGGTGAGGAGGGGAGGAGGTATGGAGGAGCACGTAAGGCCAGGACCCCGCATTACACCCCCGCACACACCCCACTCGCTCCACACCCCATCTTCGATCCCTACCCAGGTCACGACACGTCCCCTCACACCTCCCCGCATCTCCATGCGCCTCCCCCCCCCCCCGCCTCCTATCAGTTTGTCAGTGTTTCTTTATTTTTACCCCGCCTCCTATCCCCATTGCTTTGCCCTAACTTGTGGTTTCCTACGGTTCGGTATGGTCTTTGAACCCCTCCCCGCCTCCCCAGGTCCCGGCTCCCCCCGGTCAGACCTCCGCCAACTTCTCCGAGTGCGGCATGCGGGGCATGGCGGTGAAGCCGGTCAAGGGCGACGCGGTGCTGTTCTGGTCCATCCAGCCGGACGGCCGCTTCGACGCCAAGTCGCTGCACGGCAGCTGCCCAGTCATCCGGGGGGTCAAGTGGAGCGCAACAAAGTGGTGGGCTTGGGGGGAAGAAAGAGGAAACTGACGAGATGTATGACGAGGCTTGGGGGCAGGGGGCAGCTGGGTTGGGTTGGGCTGCATTACCGGTCATGGAGTAGCCATGGAGCAGGTAGGCAGGCAGAATAGGCCATGAGCCAAGCCCTGTGCGTCAGGTCCCGTACCTCGAGTGCACCGCTCCTCTCCCCAACCCAACCACCCGCCCTCACCCCGCCCCTCCCCCCCCCCTCCTCCCCCCCCAGGATCCACGTGGGTCACTACGCCATGGGCGGCGAGCGGGAGGAGACGGTGCACCGGGTCATGTACGTGCCGCCCCCGCCCCCTGCCGTACCCGGCTGCAAGAACACACACAAGCTCTGCCAGCACTGGTGAGAGGGGAGGGGTGGGGGGAGGGACGGGTGGTGAGGGGAGGGGATGGAGGTGGGTGCTAGCGCTCTGCTAGTGTGCCGCGGGACAGGGATGAGGCAAGCTGCGAGGCGGCCTCACCTCTTTGCCTCACCTGCTGTTGCCTCATGTGCGGTTGTGCTGGGTGGTTCGCCTGTGTCGGCTGCTGCCTGCTGCGGTCGTCCTTTCCTGAGGTCCCCCCTCTGCCCCTGCGTTCCCCTACCAATAGTCCGTTAACTCTGGTCTTGCTTTTCCTTTCCCCCACCCCCAGGTCCGAGTCAGGCGAGTGCGAGTCCAATCCCGGCTACATGATTGGGCACAAGGGGGCGCCCGGGGCCTGCGTGCTGGCGTGCAACCGCTGCGACATATTGAAAGCGGCATGAAAGGGGAGTGAGAGGCAGATGGGGCGCCGGTACGGGAAAAAACACTAGGTTCTAGAGGAACAGGGAGAGCAAGCAGACCGCAGGCCGGCGGAGAAGAAAGGGGATGACCAGGGTATGAAGATGGATCTTTGCTGGAGTTGCCCTTCACTTCAAGCTGAGCGTGAAGGGCCGGGCGTGAAGGGCAGCTGGGCTGGCCCAGTCGTGGAGGAATCGAACGGGGGTCGACGTTGGGATACGGGATGCTTGCTCCTTTTGTGTACGTACACGAGCACATGCGCATATGCGGCTGTGGGTAGAGTGCGGGGCCCTGTCGCCTTTATGTGCGTCCGGGCGGTTGAAACGTGTAGAGAGTGGGTTTACGTAGTGACGTCATGCGGAGATAGGGGGCTGCGTGCGTTCTGCGTGCTACCTTGCCGTCGTTGCTTGTGTGCAGGGTTTGTGCTGTTTCGGGTCCCTTGGTCCCTTGCATCCTCGTGTGATCCCTCCCCTCCGCCGTGCGTGTGGGCCCGCACCGTGAGTCCTGTTGGCAGGTTGAACCCGGTTACGCGGCTGCTCCTGTCCCTGCGTTCATGCATGTCTTGCAAGCCGTGCGTGCTACTGTTGGGCTTTTTAGTATCCTCTCCTTGGTTGGCGCAGGGGTATGGAGGCAGTAGGATGCTTGGGATAATAGCGGTATGACTTCTTGCTGTAGGTACCGTATCTAGGTTCTGCTTTTACGACCAATCCTTGGACGCCGTACACTTGCCCCTTTCTACCGGGGTATCCCAGCGGTGTTACACATTGTAGACGGTGTTGTTCGTTGCTGGATGGGTTGTGTTGGACGGTGTACGAGACGGGAGCTCACGGTGCTTTAAAGGATGCCTAGTAGCTTTGGGAACGTAACTATCGAAGTGCGCCGTCTTTTACAAAAGCGTCTTACACCATCGCAACACACTTGAACGGCCGAAGGACCTGACCAGCAGAAAACAGCCATCAATGATGGAGAGAATGTATCGCTAAGCTCCCACCAAACTTCAGTGTGAAGGGGATCCCTGAAGTGCACCCCAACTAGCCTGCTCGGGAGGCAACCTGAGCCCCCCCAACCACAACAGCAACAACAGGCGGAAGGAAAGGACAGCGGCGGCAGTGATACCTCCACCTGGAGCAGCGGTCTCCAATGGCACAAAGCCATCAGCCACGGACCCGAATGACACCAGAAGCAGCAAACAGCCATACATGGCGACGTTAGTTGCTGCTATGACAAAAGGCCCCGCACATCTGTGAGCCCCACTTGGTGGTAAGCACAAGTCACCTGCTGCTGCTGCTGCCCACAACCCATATCGAGTACCAATGTGCACAAGTCCCGAGAAACGCCACACACGAGCTCAGGTATGACAGCCACCGCTCATGAACATCATACCTGCAATGAACAGCAATTTAGCAGCACTACCAGCGCCCGTGGTGGCACACATGTTTCCCCGGGTGCCTTGACGACGGCATGGTTAATAACATGATGGCACACGCCACAACGCGCCATATCCGCAACCTGCAAAGCCAGGAATCGCCCATCACGCGCAACATGTTTGACCCCCAACCCCCTTCACACGCCGGGTGCCCGGGTCTTGGCGCGTGGGCATGCAGAGCGGTTTCACAACACAGCTCTCACCCGGTAGCCTGCATCGGAGAACAAAACATTGCAGAACATCCCAAGCGGATCATGGCGCTTATTGACGGGGTTTCACATCGCCCCTCTCTTCCGCAGTTGCAAGGTGTCAATGCATTCAAGCGTTTCGTTGACGTTCGTTAGCCCTGCCTTCATAACCCACACCTTCATACCTGCACCGCCCCAAGCTCCAGGGCCTCTAAGAATACCATATCCTCGCAATGCGCCAGTTCGGTGCTTATATCATCCCGCATACAAGTGTGATGGCCCCCATCTTGCCCCATCCCACCGCTGTACTGCACCTCCTGCGCACTAGGCGACACACCGCACGGGAGCCCGCGATGCTCCCCGTCGTAAGCAGCGCCCGCATCCAAAGATATCCCTGATACCCAGGACCCGCCTTCATCACTGCGCCCCCCTTCCACGCACGAGCGCATCCCATAAACCCAAGCATGCAGGCTCCTATCGGCGCTGCCCCTGCCGCGCCCTCCGCCTCCCTGCCTTGCAGTGCCTCCCAGCACCTCCCAACCAACCGTCCACTCCCAACCTCCGCACCCCGCCTACGCACTGCTCCGTTTGCCACCCTCGCCGCTACCGCTCCTCCCACCCTCCCTGCTTCCCAGTCCTCCTCCTCTCCTTCCAAACGACGACCTCAGCCCTCCCCCCTGCGCCGTCTGCGTTTCCGTACTCGCCGTCACCGCCGTCTGCGTCTCCGCGCCCCTCATTTCCAGCGTCTGCGTCTCACTGCTCTGCCGCCGCGCCCCCGTCTGCGTCTCCCGCGTCTGCTGCCGCTTCATCTGCTGCTGCATGGCGGACAGCGGCGGTCGCTCCGTCACGTTCACACAGTTCATGGCCTGCAGCACAGCCGGCAGGTTCACGTTGAGGTGCGCGCGCAGCTGCTGCGTCTGCTGTACGGCAGCGGATCTGAAGTGCTGCTGCAGTACGTCGTAGAAGTTCTCGTCCAACAGCGGCTCGCCGCTGCCAGGGACCGTGGTGACGGCCAGGTACTGGGCAAGCGTGCCTCCACTGCCACCGCCGCCCCCTGCATCAGCGCCGGCGGCGGTGCTGCTGGCAGTGGTATTGTTGGCAGGGGTACCGCCGCGAGCAGGGGCACCGTGGCTACTGCTGCCGCCGGTAGCTCCGGCAGTGGGAGGAGCAGAGGCGGCAGCAGCAGCGGCCGTAGCGGGGGCTGAGGCTGGGGTTGAGGCAGCGGCACCGGCTGCGGTGGAAGCTGGTGTTATTGTGGTTGCAGCAGCGCCCCGTGACAAACCCTTTGGAGAGCTGTACGGCGGGGAGGTACTCGTGGTGTTGGTGGTTGAGGTGGTAGCGGTAAGCTGAGCATGGCCTGCAGCTACGCCCCGGTCAGCAACACCGCTGCCGCCGCGGCCCCCGTGTTCTAGGAAGGAGCCGGAGCGGGAGGGGCCGTGGGGGCCGCCGCTGCCGCCGCCTCCCGTGGCGGTGGTTTCGCGTGGGGGCGAGGTGCTGGCAGAGACCGGGGAGCGCGAGCGTGAGCGGGGCGGGGAGGCGGAGGGGGAGGGCGAGAGGGAGGGCAGAGCGGCGGTGGCTACCTCGCCTGAGAGGAGGACGGGCTCGGGTCGGCGGGTCGGTGGGGACTGCTGGTAGAGCTTGGGCGGGCTGTGGCTGCGGCGGCGGGCGGAAAGGCCTTCGAGCCTGGTGGGATGGGGTTGGGGCAGGTGCAGGGGGTGAGGAAGGGGGAGGGACTGCTGATGGTTGGGGTAAGGGGGCTTTGGAGGGTGACGGGTGGTTAGGTGGGAAGGGGCATTGGGGCCTGGGAGGGCGGGTCGGTGAGGGGAAACGGCGGCGGAGGACAGGGGACGCGAAAGGAAGAGGAGTGAAGGCGGGTTGGAACGGCAAAGGCCTAAAAGAGGAAGTAAGGCGGTTAGGAGTGCTTGCAGGCTGGAGAGCGAGGCGGGTGATGAATTACGGTAGATGCGGTTGAGGTGCACAGGTGCTTGGCCTAGCAGACCAAGAGGCAAGGGTTCTTGGGATGAATGAAACGAGACGAGGGTGCAAGGTTAGAAAGCGTATAGGAGATTGTGTAATTTGTGTTGCGGTGGCGCCTGTCAACGCCTGCAGTCTCCACACAAGGAAAGTATGGCACCTGCTGCTGCCGCCGCCTCTGCGTCCCGTACCTGCTTGCGGGAATGCCGTTGGGCAGCGCCCTCGCCGGCGGCTGGGGCTGCCTGGGCACTCGCTTCTGCGGGTGCCGGGGTGGGGGGGGAGGTGCACACGTAGGAGGGTGCATGAGGGTCAAAGGGGAGAGGCGGAGTACACTGTAAGTAAGAGGAAGGGCTTGGCTAGGGGGCTGGTCAGAAGGGTATGGTCTTGGAGGAAAGTGGGACAGAAAGAGTCAGCAGCTGGCAGCAGTAGCCTCGTTAAGCGTGTTGTCAGCACAGCATGCACAGGAGCGAAGCGGGGCTGGGGGCTAGGGGGCAAAAAGGAAATTCCAAAGTGTGGTGTGATACTATTGATACAAGTTGCTGCGCCCTGCTGCTGCGGCACCCACCAGGGGTCGGGACTGGTGGCGGGGGACCATCGCTCCCGGGGGGCGCAGGTAGCGCAGCTGCGGGTGGGGAGGATGGGAAGCGAGGAGGGGAGGGTGTGAGTGGGGTCGCTAGGGACGGCAGCAACCCGGTGCAACGAAGCGTTCGTTATCATTACCCCTCCGCAAGCAACACAAGCGCCATTCAATCCTCACCGTTCTCGCGTTCATCCTCCCACTTATAACTCTTTACCTATACCCGTCTGTTCCTCTCCTTCTTCCTCTCCTCCATCTTCCTCTCCCCTCTCTCGCTGGATGGCCGACAGCTCATCGTAACCGTGGACTCGGTATCGGTAGGGACCGCTAACCCTCACTTTGTACTGTGGCACCCTGCCGCTTCCTATCCCCTGTGCTTTGCCCTGACCTGCGGGGTCCTTCAATTTTTCCCCTTTTGCCCCCACTCCCCACCAGCAACACATGGTGAAGCCTCGTCATACTGTTTGTCCTCCCTTTCACCCCGACCCCCCCACCCATGTTGACGCCTTATCCCTCAGTCAGTTAGTTGTTTCCTCTTTACCCCCCACCTGCAGCTCCGGCAGGTCCTCCACCTGGTGCCGCCGCGAGTACCGCTCGAACAGCAGCCCCTCGGTGGTGGGCACACCTCGCAGCGGCGCAGTGCCCGCGAAACTGCCGTTGGGCAGCGCAAGGTAGGCGCCCTGCTGCGCCGCGGCACTGGGGTAGGAGGAAGACGACCCATGGGTCACTCCGCCGCTGCGAGGGCTACCGCCGGCGGCGCCGGCGGAATTGGTACTGGCGCCGGAGGCTAACCCGGCGGCCACGATTGCCGCCGCCGCTGCGACAGGGTTACCGGCGATGGAGGGGGAGGCTTCGTGGGTATGTGGGGAGGATTCGAGGACGCCGGTGTCGGTTCGGGCTCGGCCGCCGGTGATGCGGGAGGGATGGTTTGGGTCGGTGGATGCTGCGGTGGCGGCTATGGCTGAGGGGAGGGGCGGAGAGGGTAGGGATGCGAAGCGATTGCGGCCCAGAGGGGGCTCCGGCAGCGAGGAGGGGTGAGCTGCGCGGGCGAGGAGGCGTGGGAGCAGGGATGGGAGCAAAGGTTAGCGAGCGCCCGCAGGGAAGGGTTGGCAAGGGGGGCGCCGGAGGAAGATGTACGGAAACGTGTCAGGAAGTGCACGAAGGGTGGTGCAGGGATCGACCGACCCCGTCTACCATGTCCCACAAGCGGGCAAGTCTGGTGGCAAGCAGGTGGCAAGCTGGCAGAGTAAGAGGCGGACTCGCAAGTAGAAACAACAAATCGAGGTCTGCTCCGCAACCACGCGGCGCCATCCCCCGTACCATGCGACGCCTCCCCACACACGCACCGCCTCCCACACGGCACCCCGTCCCTCACCTGAGGTGGCAGTGGGAGGTCGGGAGCGCGGGGAGCGGGGAATGCTGCTGGTCAGGATGGGCCGCTGGCCTGGCTGCTGCTGCAGCTGCTGCTGGCCTGGCGCCGCCGCCACCTCGCCCTCCGAGTCCGTGCCCGCTGGCGCCCCTGCGGCCTTCGCACCCGCTCCCGTTACTGCTCCTGCCCTTGCCGCTGCTGCCCTAGAGGTCCTGCCGGATGACCCATGGGTCGCCCGGTGCGCCTCCTCCACCGCCCGGCAGGACTCGGTCATGGCCTGCTCGAGGGAGGAGGAGGAGGGGATAGGGCGCGGCAGGGTGGCAGGGGCTTTTCCAGTCGACTTGGGAAAAGCACACCGTTGGGAGTCCGCAAGCACACACACAGACAGTCCCGTGACCACCTGCTCCATCCATGGCTTTGTGAAGTTACACTCGGACCCTTATTTCCACCCACCCGACCCCAACCACCCGCCCTTCTATCCACCTAGTCCTCACTCCACACTCCCCTCAACCAGCCCGCAGCCCCACCTGAATCCTGGCCCCCAGGCGCCGTACAGTCTTGCGATGCTCGTCCTCCTTCACCTGGAAGGCTGTTCGAATGCGCTGGTGCAGCTGGAAGCGAGCCAGGTAGGCATCGATGGGGTCCTGAGGGGCCGGGAGGAGGGGGGGGAGAAAAAAATGAACAACGAGTCCCAATCCCATATCCCGACTCATGCAGTGGGGGGGAGAGGGCGTCAGGGTGCGGTCGCAAGGAGCGAGCTGAGAAATGGATGAGGCATACACTGATGCCTGCGTACGGCAGAGGCGGCGCTGGGAAATGCACAGGGCGGCTTGAGGGGAACGGCGCGTCCTCCGGAGCTTCTCACCTGTATGGATTGCAGAAGCGGCATTTGCAAGGCCCCGCTGCCGCCGAGTGGAGGCTCCACGTCCGGGGCCAAGGCCGCCTGTGCCGCCATGCTAAGGGTTGCGCGGCGGCTGCTAGCGCTGTTCGCGTTGTCCGTAGTAGTGGTGTTGCCGTTGCTGGTGATGGTGGTGGTCGTGGTGGTGGCCGCGCCCTGTTGCGGCGGCGACGGCGAGGAGCATGATGTGATGACATGGCCCCGGCCTACCGTAGTTATCGGGACCGAGGGCAGTTGGGAGGCGCTGGACTCTGAGCAAACCACGCGTTTGGGACTGGAATGTCGATTAGAGACTGGGCGGCCCGTCTCGAGGGGAGCGGTTTGGTTCGGCGTAGCGGGAGATGGATTCGGTTGTTTAGCTCGGCCTTTGTCGGGCTGCAGGCGGCTATCCGTCCATGGACGTATCTCCGGCTTTGTGAGCTGTATGGACCATGGGTTGGCACCAGGAGAGGACATTGCCGTGCGCGGCGTGTCCCAGAGATGCTCTGGGGTATCCATTCGCGGAGGAGTCCATTCGCGCCGCGGGTCCGCTTCGAATGGCAAATCATTAAGGCTTGGTGTTGATGTCATTGGATTAGCCAATGCGAGCATCTAACGCGTCCAGTGAGCGAACTTAATGTGCAAGGTTACTGCCGAAACAAGCAACCGCTAAGCTTTTCATAGTAGAACCGTTTTGTACCGGCTAACACTGTATAAGGAAAATGGCTCGAGTGGTCGAATACAGCAACTATTTTGTCCGTAGGTCATTCGATACATGGTAAAGCTTTACCTACAGGTAGGATTTGTCAAGCAACGCCCTGTTTGTTAAGTAAGATATCTAGGTAGTATTGAAAGCAGCGTTACTGAATGGGCGATGTTAGTTTTCCGTACAGTGGGCCGTTTTAAGGTAGGGAAAGATACGCCCAACAGTCCTGGTCCACTTCCAATCATTGCTCGCGTTAATCCCTTCTGTTACACACCATCGTGCCTGAGTCAATGGTAATGCATCGCAATTCCGAAGGTTCTGAGATGTTTAACTTTTCTGTCTCCATTCCACTTTAGAAATCATAGCGTTAGCAGTATGCTTGATTATCACAACAGCCAAGGATGATGCCGCCTAGCCCAACGTCTTGCCGCTTCTAGCCGTTACAGTAGTATGTGCCCCAGCTGCCATGCCAGCGGTACTTTGCGTTTGCTGCTGCACCCAAGTACCACCGCACATTGCAGAACCGCGTCCCGAAATGTCAGCCCCGCCCCGACCATGAGGGCACCAGGACAGCAGGACAGCAGGATGTGGTGCCCACAGCATGTCTTCCTCCCCACTCCCATCCTACTTTTGCGCAGAAACACCCAACACCGCATACCTTGTTGAGTACCAGCTGCACCAACGGGCCACATACCCGGCTCGGCAGCAGATGCGCTGCAGAATTGTACGGTGCCTGGGGTTTAGGGCCGAACACGCAAGGGAACACGTAGGGGAGCAGGACAAGAGCATCTTAGGATAGTCTAAGCTACCGGTATGCGCGGCCCAGCAGCTAGGCAGCCGGAGGTGGTACCCCGTAACCATGACTGGACATGAACGATTGCTAAATAGGTGGGCTTGGGAACATAAGACCGCAGGATTACTTGGCGGGGGCAGCGCAGGGTGACGCAGAGGTGGCTATAGGAAAGAGAACCCCAGAGTTTTGCCAGTTTATATCCTGTCGAGTGAGATAGGGTTGGATGAAGGACAAGGGGGGCCGAAAAGATCCCATGCAAGGTCCCACTTATGCCGTCTTGGCCAACCGTCGCTGCTACAACTAGGGTGCCGTTTGCTTCAGGCACGCAGGTAAAGATAAACGGCAAAACCATTGACATGCACATGGATGATGTCAATGGCGCCGTTCAAGACTAAGGGCTGGATGGACGAGCACAATGCAGCAGCCAAAGCAGCATAACGTCGAACAACTCCAATCAGCTGGCACCACAGACGCCATTATGTCCTGGACATCTTTCGTTTTTTCCTTTTCTGCCACGGCAAAGAAACGCGCCTTTTGCCGCTCCATGTAGCCCACCTTATGTACTTCACCCGCCCTTGACTCCTCTTATCACACCTGGGTGTACGCATACATCAATGCCCGTATTGCACTGGGGCCGATAGACGCTGACAGCACATCAGAAAAAGGCTGCAAGCAGAGACACTCCTCTATCCTCTCGCCTTCGTCCGCTGAACCATGTGTTCCACATAATCGTACATGTCTATGCGACAATAAGTACAACGGGGCGGTACACTTCGTGTGGTGCAACAGTCCGGCCTTCAGAGAATGTTGCAATCGATTTGATGAGGGTACGCAATAAGCATGGTCCAAAAATATCCTTATAAAAATGCAGTTTACTACTCAGCTGCATACCGTGTATGGCGAGACAGGCGAGTGTCATATCAAGATCCATTCCTCTGTGTCAGACACCAAACGCGAAGGCGCCGTACCAACCGCAAGCCTGTAATGAGTGCAAAGAATAGCGTATGGAAACCAACCGTAATCATGGTCAGCAGCATATGGCGCTGTGGCAACACATCCCGCGGAACACGCGGGCGGTGGGAACACCCCAAAATTTTTCGCTTGTGTCAAGTGATGCCCACCCCCGGTGACCGTCTAATTGACCAGGACTAGTACACGCAGCAGTGTGGCACGCGGCGCCCGTGTGAGGACGAGGCTACCGCGCTTCTGTCCCTTCCCTTATGGCTAGGGTGTATGCGACCGCAAGCTAGGGCTGTGACCTAATGCGGCGCCCTACCGTATGCGTACGGTATTGTTGTATCTATTTAAGATCGAGATGCGGAAGCGAGCGGAAGCAAACTATATGTCGAGATATAACGCAAGCGGAAGCGTGTATGGCGTAGGCTATGACCTACTTGTTCTGGGCTATGATGCCGGCTGGGACTGCAGTCCGACGACACCGCCCACCTGCTTCTCCTTAGAGGGTTGCTGACCCGCCAGGCCCTTGCCGAGGTGGACTGAGAAGGGTGTCAGACCTGGGCTGGAGAGGGTTTGTATAACCACTGGGGCATAGACTAGGCCAGGGGGTTAGCGTATAAGACCGAGGGAAGGATAAGAGTGAGAGAGACCTATGCAAGTAAACCCTATCGTGTACAACTGACGAGTCGTACCAGGTGTACGGACCGTTATGGGTTGTTGACCGTTAGAGTAGCCGACTACCTAAAGACTTAGCAAACTGATACGGTTGTAGGCGTACAGTATAACAACCTAGCTGCTGTGTAAGAGTAAGCTGTAATGTACGGCTGACAGGTCGTATTGAGGCAAACCGCTGCAGTTGGGTAACTAACTAGCTAACCACCTAACCGCTGACGGTTAGCGTCTAAGTGCGCACCCAAACACGGTACGGTATTTCAGAGAAGGACTCAAGGCTAGACACAGGCTCAGGAATGCCAATGCGGACCCTATCTAAGGCTGGATTGGCAAAGCACGGGGCTGCAGGTAATAACCGCTGGTATTTAGGTATGTAACAGACAGTAACGAACCGTATAACTGCCCAGGCAGGGCAGTGCTTGACGTCCAGACACGAAAGGTCCTTCCAGTCTCCACGCGTGTATCTTACACGGAGATAAGTCCGAGTCCAAAGTCCATTGGTTGGAAGCTTAGTCCAGAAAGAGGGTTAAGGCTGCCCTGACCGACCCCAGCCGGCGTTTAGGCCACTTTCAGCTGTAAAGGTCTAGAACCAAGAAAACCCTGCCCTTTTATACTAATTCAAAACCCCGGTGAGCCAAAAACCGGCCACCGTTGACCACAACTGACCAACAAGCCGTTACCCCGCTGAGAAGCAGGAAAACACGCTCAGCGAGGCGCTACTCACTGGGACCAACGAATTCCCACTGACACTGGCCTCTCTGAGCCAATCGTCCCAACGGAAACCCCGCTGAGCCTCCGCTTCCTGGCCCGCTGACCCAAAACCGTCAACCGACCCATGGGACGACAGTGTCGAACTCGCCCCATGCCAGGTCGCCTGTTCAAGCCCTTCCCCAAGCAGCGCCGGCATGTTCAAAACCACGCCGCAACCAAACCCGTAGCCCCCAATAAGTGGGACTACAGCTACAAACTCATCCGCCGACAAATGGGTAAACACACAAAAGTGTAAACCCAACCTATCATGCCACAACTGTGGCAACACTTCCTCCGCCTGCGCTGGACGACCCCTGTCCAGCCCCCTCGCCACGTACGCGGAAACATCATGAGCGTACCGAGACGGCAAGACGAGCCGCGATAATATTCATGAATTATCCAAGCACAGAAGCCTTCTGCAGTACAATCGTACGACGACGGAACCTGCACAAGGCCGCCGCTCAACAGGTGCATGAATTTAGTACTAGCAATGTACGTGGTCAGCAAGGATGCTGCCATGATCAATGTAGCCGAACGCAATCAAGTCTTGTAATGTAGCAGCCATGTACGTGTACCATACCGGCTAAACGGTCAAGGCATCGAGACTTGAAGCAAATATGCTTATGAATTGTACTTGCTGTGAGTTCTAGGCATTGAGACAGATAGGAGGTCGAGGTATCAAGACCCCGGCATCGAGACGAAACTAAGCATGATCATGAGATGTACTGGCTATTAGTTCAAAGCATCGAGCCCAGTACGAGGCATCGAGACATGCACGGCAGCATAACCGCCGCAAAGCGTACCAGCCGCACCACGAACCACATCGTCCCAAGCTTTTTGGTGCGCACGGCCCCAGCAAACGGGCCGCCGCTTGGTTGCCCATCGCTGACAACACCTTGGCTCCCCTGTGCCGTAAGACTGACCAATGCAGCCCGCAGCGCCCGACGCCCAGCTGCTGCTGCCGCCGCTGTTGCCGCCCTCGCGGTGAGGACACCGCCTGCGCCCAGCTGGAGGAAAGCTCCTGCCGGAGGCACTCCAGCTAGTTAAGCTCCAAGCCAGCGCCGTGAAGCGAAACGCTTCGGCAAGTGCAGCGACTGCGCCTCGCCTTGCTGACCCACGGGCCGAAAATGCTCCACTGCTCCACTGCTGCGGCGAAGAGCTGAAGCTCCGTAGACAATACTGGCGTTGGGTAGAAGAAGATAACAGCAGCCGCGACGTCGCACCGCGCTGAAAAGCACAGGCTCCGAAGCGCTGTACGATCTTACGCCGAATGGCCTCCACTCGCCAGGGCTGCTCCCGGCGAATACTTCGCTATAACGGAGAGACGATGATATTCACAACCGATTGTAGCAACCGGAAATGGCTATTTTGACGTTGCTGGCCTCGCTGCCCTGCCAGAAGCTTAGCGAACGTTGTCCGCTAATTGAAGATCCGCTACGACTGAAATATAGAGCTAATCCTCGCGTACTTGGAGCCCAAACTCAGCCCAAAAGCTAGGCTACCAGCACCTGATCGGCTGGTACGGAAAACAGCTTGCCGTCCCGCATCTTCAGGAGAGCCATAGTGCCCGACTGATGCCAGCAGTAAAAGCCGAAAGGACCCTCACGATCAGGCCCTAACTTGCTGCTGCGGCGAAGACGGCGGTAGACCATCGCGTTCTCGGGTAAGTTGGGCAGGTGGCGTAGGACCTCAGTGTCCTCCACCTCGCGTACCGCAGGCTGCACAGCTGGGACGGAATCATGGGTTGCAGTCTCCGTTTGAGTGGCAGCATGGCGGCGCCGAACCGGCGTCGCCACCGCCCCTGCTGCCGCCGCCGCGGTTGCCGTTGTCTCTGCCGTAGCGGCTGCCTCCCTGGCAGCCCTCTTGCGAGGTGCCTCCCTGCTTTGCTGCCGCTGCTGCTCCGCTTCTGCCCGTGCCTGCTGCTGCCCCGAGCCAGTTGCTGCCACTGACTTCGGTGCCTC